ATCAATAGAAGTTTTTTCTCACGTTTGAAGGCCTGGTATATTCATTTGAAATCTTTGAATGAAAAAATATTCATACGATGACCGGAACGATTGGTTAATAAATATTTCTAGATATTACGACAAGGAGACCAAGATAGGCGAGACATGCAGCTCGAAAAAATCCATCGGGAAGTGTCTATACTCAACAATGAATGCCTCAATAGTTGGGAAGAGACCGTGAAAGAAAAACAGATGGAATCGAATCAACAGATTCTGCAGAGCTGCAACCTGCAAACTGGAAAATATACATACTTTGTTTTTAATTCAAACTAAATATTTTTTTACTGAATCAAGCAATAGAAAAAATATGAAGGAACCGCTAAAAAATAATTTTATTATAGCTGCATCCTATATTGTTTTTCCTAAGCCAAACTACTCATTTATCGCCACTTTATATGGTTATAGGTAATGTGGCAAGTAAAACCCTTTACCATTTTTTTTTTTTGTGGGTGAGAAAAATACATTTCGTGTATATATATAAAGGATGTTCCAAAATTAACGCAAACTTTAAATTAAATATAAAGCACAGTTTCTTCTTCTTTTGTTTCCTTTTTGTTTGTCAATAGGGTTAGTAAGAGTGGATTGTTATACGAGCGAACAACATGTTTTCATTGTTGAACAATATTTTTAAAATAATGATAATCTTGCGGCCAAAGTTGGAAAATTTCGCACGTAACATGGTCGGAATAGTGATTTACCTTCATCAACCGTGAAGAGTAGACTGGATCAATTGGTAATGTTAAACACACTGGCAATCCAAAAACAAACTGTTGATGTGACAATATCGAAGCAAAACAAATGGCCTCTTTAAAAAAAATTTATTTTTTTTAAATTATTGTTCAACAATGAAAACACGTTGTTCGCTCATATAACGCTCCATTTTTTACTAAGCCTAAGCCATCAGCTGTTAAATTGGCAAAAAAAAAAGAATATAGAACAGCGTTTTATATTTCATTTAAATCATGCGTTAATTTTGGGACACCCTATAGACCGAATATTTTCTATCGTTTTTATATAACAAATAATTAATCTGTGAACACTTATAATGATGTCTGAGCAGATATTTTATTTTATACAATTTAAACCGCCACTAAAAATTGAATGGAAAAGAAAAAAATGTGAAAAAAGTCTACAGCGGGAGTGAAAAACAGCTGCGGGCGTGTTTTATTTAGAAGTGATAAATGGTCTGTCAAATTGAAGTTTTAGCTGAGCGTCTGAGTGGCACTGCGAGGAGTATAACACCGTTTCAGTCAGATATTGCATTTTAAAAAGTATACAGTTTTATTTTATTTTATTTAAAAGGAATAAAATTAACTATTATGAAAATACTTAGGATTAAATAACCGTTAATACCATTGTTGATAATCAATTGTCAGCCATTGTGATAATTTTTATGGTATAATAAATATTTATATTGTACATGATTATATATGTATAGTCCAGTCAATTGTCTACCATCATTATATAGTGATATATGAAATTGTTTAAAATCAATTGATATTTTAATTGATCATAAAAAAATATTCTCTTTCTTTCCGTCACGAAAATGTCATGGTAATAAAACTTGAAGAAATTTCAATGGATTTACGATTGTAACGATTGGATTCGGAAGATGGTTTATTGTTAGATCTGCTAAGTTTAACTCGGCTAAATAAAATAAAAGCTGAAACAATTTAAACCGGAAAAAAATGTCGATATTTCAGTTTTCTATGAATTGTTCCATATTAGGTCACTTTGTTACCTATACTACTATTTTCAATAATTCTCAATGGAATATGAAAAAGAGATGGACGTGAAATTTCGGAAGGTTTGAATCATCTAACACAATTATGAAAATATAACTAGAATACATTATACATACATGTGTAAAGTGTTCAGTCATTGATTTACGTTATAAATAAATATTTTTAAATCCATGTAAGCTATGTTTAGTTTAAGAATTTATTTTATGTTTTGTTCCGAAATTTGGTATGCTCTTAATAGAAGTTTTTTCAAGAAATTTAAGAAATACCACTGTTGGACAAATTATCGAGATATAACTCAGGAACGCAATGTATAATTTCGTTGTCTTCGAGCTCCGATTCCCATGAAGTTAATAGCTTGATAACAGGTGGAATGTTCAAGGGAGTAAACAAAACATGGATGAGGAAGACAGTAATATAACACTGAACTGAATCAAAACCATATGATGTACCGAAATAAATGCTAGGATATGTACAGAAATATTACAAGTTCCGGTAACAGATCACGAGTAGAGCATAATGGCATGTTTATTCGGCAAGCTAAAGAGCTGTTGTCAAAGTGCGATCACGCCTAACCTTGTGAAAGGTTGAAGTTCTTCATTCAGAATATCAGGTCTATTATTAACTGAAAACAATGTTCACGGTTATCTTTTGAGGATGTTTAATAAATCTACAGAATGGCTACTGAAACAAAAGTTCCTCTTTTCTTAAAAATACCCAGATATAAAAGCTTCCTCACGCCTCGTTCAAGTTCAAGCCTCACTTTGTATTCTGCTGAAGCAAGGCGAGATATGCACCCTGTTTCATAAATGTCTTCCAACGACAACTCCTACATAAGAAGAATACATCCTCTAAAGAAGCATGGAAGACGAAGGGAGCGAGAGGCCGCTGAGGCCTTGGCAGTCCCAAGGTTAAGGTAACTGCGAGGAAGCCCGCTCCGCTGCACTCGGGTCCTCCCAAGCCGGATTTCGCCCAAAGTGGAAATGGAGAATAACATATTATATAACTGTATAAGGATATATTACATACGCATCCAGAATATTATATAATCAAATACAGGTGCATTTCTATGCGTGTTGAACTTACGTAAGGTTATGCATTCATCTGTTTTCTACTTGACGATTGCTATAAAATTTTACAATTGACTGTATAATAATAAAAATACATAAACCAAACTATGGTAAATTTTTATGATTCCACCTCAGTTTATATAAGGAAAAGTTTAAGAAATTCAGGTTTATCTCTGATGGACGATCATCATGGCACTTAGTCAAATGAAAACTTGCTTAGATCTCCTGTACTGGTATATGATGATTAGTGTTGCCCAAATGCGAGAACGAGACGAGTCTTACAAACTCAGTCTTGGTCAAGAGTCTTGCAGTTACTTATTACCTTATTAGGATAGAGGTATTACTGTAATTTTTTAGATAGGAGATACATAACTAAGCCCGAATGAAAAATTACAGGAGTTAAATGCAAAAGTATATTGGTTTTACCAATTATTTGCATATAATAACTAAGATTGTCAAGTATTAATAACTATTTTGTCTTAATTTTTATTTAAAAAATCGATTTTTTTCACCAATCCTGGTCTTGGTCTTGCAATAGTTTGGCGGCCTTGGTATTAGTCTTACAAAGTGCAAGACCAAGACCTATTTTGGGCAACACTAATGATGATCATTGGTAACATGTCCTTTATCTTTAATTTTATTCAATTTCTGTTTTAAACTTAGAAGACTAGTTTTACTAAGTTGTAGTCAGGCTTGCTTGAGATGAAAAAAAGACCAACTCAAATAAAATATTGAGACAAAAATTGAAAATAATGAACACATTTTTTCTTTGTTCTATCTGAAAAGTTGATACAATATTGATAAGTTTTTTTTTCTCAAAAGTGCGACCAACGATAGTTAACTATAATAAATAGGTTAAATGAAGAATATGTTCAAAGAACTGCAGATAAAATTTACATTATTTTTTAAAAAGTAATCTAAAAAGACATTCTAAACAGCATTTGCCTTTTCAATGTCTTAGAAGACTAATAATATCGAGTATCTAAAAATTTAGAATTGAAATTGATAGATTGAATACAGGAAATAAAAATGAAGAGAAAAGAATATTTTTAAAATTAAAAATTGATAAATTAAATTAAGCAGATTTTAAAATATCAATATATATATAAAACATCCTTAAATTTTCCCAGAGGAAAACTTACTTTATATTTGTTTTTAGAATTCAAACAAAATCCAAGATTTGACGAAAATAACAATTAGATCTGTCTGTATTTATGAAAATAATTAATAAACTATAAAATCTATACAAAAATACACATTATGAAGATATTAAAAACTAAATTAAATTATAATATATAACAAGAAACTATGATTAATTTAACAATAAAGTCCTTTAATTGGTAATAAATCGTATCGAAAATACATATAAAATATCAATAGTCAATTCTAAAAAAAAAATTAAAATAGTTGAATTCTACTATTTATTCAATATTTTTTTTTAGAACCTGTAGCATTCAAAAATTAGAGGTGCCAATAAGCAGATTTTATGGAGGGCCCAGACATAATTTTATAGTTTCTTAACATAATTCTTTAAGGCTCTGACGGATGCCAAGAACTTCATTTCACATGGGCCGATTTCTAATATCTTCAATAACTCCTCATAGTTCATCTTGAATCCATCTCAGACAATAACATCTTATCTTTCTAGCTTAGACCTTTACAAAAAAAAAAAAAGTATTTTTTTTTGGAATTAAAGTATTTCTTGACCTAATAGTTTTGATAATTATATATATTTTTTTTTTGTAAGGACTTCTTCACTACTGTGGTTATCATTGACCTAAATATCCTTTAAGATATTCCTCCATCCTTCTCTATCTAAGGTTTGTTCTTCTCTGTTGTCAGGCTTTCTTCCATTGTGTCTTTCCATGTTTTCCTTCTCCCTTCTGCCTCCAATTAAAGTAATTATCAATTATAATAACTAATTTTGTTATTATTACTTTTAATGTAAAAGTAGGCATTAAAACATATTTTTACTTTCCTCAATGATATGTATTTATAACCAGAATTCCGTGATTATACCGTTATGAAATAATTATGATGACTTTACTTTAAATATACTAGTGTAATCTTTGCTACTTCTATTAACACATTTATGCATCTTAATTCACAGAACAGATGCTATCGGAGAATCAAAAACACACTTTTAACACATAAACTCGCATCGTAGAGCATATCCGCCATATTTTAAGGCAATTCTATAATTTTTTGCAATAACACTTACTTAAAATACTCAAAATGTAACTGATAATCTTAACCAATGTCCATTCAGTTATTAAATAAAAACATTAAAGCGATTACTTCTTCTCTCAAGCTAAAGAATACGCACACGCAAATGATTCAAAATATATTTTCTTGAAGGCAGGAACCCGATCTAAAAGTTGTTTTACCTGCCAAAGAGTTCTCAGGTTGCTAAAATTTCATCCTATCCACCACTCTGCCTTCACGATGCTCTCTCCTACCGACAACGTCTTTAAAAACCCTATTCGTCACAATATCGGATGACGATAGAACTATCAACATTAATATCGTTTGATAAAGATAAAGTTTTTATACGATCGAAAGTTCGATTCGTAAGGCATATTTCCATGCCTATCTGAAAATTAAATTCACCATTCGCAGTATTCTTTTTCGTTTTCAAGATTATGAAAAATGATACCGATGGATCTATGTGACCTAACAATATTCTAAAACAATCAAAACATACTCAATTAGTCTAAATATAAAACGAGAGACAAAGCAAAACGGATGAAATAATAGAATGGCTGAATCGTCAGGACAAGCACATTCCAATCCGAGTATGATATACGAAACAAAAGTCTCTTCTTCTTTTGATTGATGCCTCGCTACAGATGTCTGCAATTCTAAACTGTAATCAGCAATCTACCATTTTTTTTTTTAATTACGGCAATAATGCAACGCGGCCTCCGTGAATCCGTCCTATACTCAGGCCAATAGCCTTTACGAACTTATACAAACTGTTGGGATCAATTAATTCGCTGAGCTTAGGATCAATAATGCTGTCCCAACCAAAATGGAAATAGCCCATTCCTAACCAATACATCACATTTGCATATTATGCGGTAGGCGGTTTCATTCTCCATATCACAGAACATGGTGATCTGTGCCTCAGTTAATCCCACATTAAACAAGTGTTTATTCAGTCCGCAGTGACCTGACTTCCCATTAATAGAAGTATTGCACTTCTCTTTGGATTGGGTCCTTCTAGGAACATTTCAGAATGTGTCTGTATCATAGTAGTCTCCCAAAAGAGTTTCTTCTTATCTATTCCTACAGCTACCTTAATATCTATCTTGGCATGTCTTAACCTAAACCACAGATGGGTTCTAGTGCTTCAGCTGTACCATGCTACTTGTTCTGAGCCGTATATTCTCATTATCTAAGATTCCTAAGTATCCAGGAACCCACATCACCCTCACTTTCTGGTTTACAGAAAGAATATTTAAATTTCCTTAGCTATCCGTGAATATCAAGATTTGACTATTTGTCAATCCCTCCTTTATTCGAGATTAGAAAAAGGTATTAATTGCTAGTACTTCAGTCTGAAATACTGAAATATGACTACTTGAAGATATGGAAATGCCTTGGGTTTATCCATCCTCCAAATACCAAACCCCCTTATAGACTCGTTTTTATCATTGGCTTTACATGTCTCAGATGGTCACTATTATCATATATTATGAACATTTTACATAGTCAATTTATTAATTCAAGCGAAAACCTGGCGGTTTAGTATGCTCTCGATCAAATCACCTCCTTGCAGAACCGTTGATCTAGAAACAGTACATTTCCTAAGTAGTATTGAATCCAAGACTCCCTTCATGGGTTGTAGTGGTACAGGTTTCTTTTTTTTGCATAGTCAATATTTTTTCATTTTGAATTTTGTATAGCTACAAACTAATTTAAATGTAAAACGCTGATGGTTGGGATAGGATCCGCGAAAAAAATGTATTGTCAAAATTAATCAGTATTGCATAATTTTTCATGGAAGAATGGAGAAATTATTATCTTATTTCCCTATCAGGCCTTTCACACATTAAATTACCACTTGTAGGCCACACATACTTCATTACAGCAATGCTAACTCTTAAGGTTTAACACAACTTTAATGGAAATGTTTTTGTTTTTTTAGAAATTATTCAGATTTTGCTTCATGATCTAGAAATATAACTTACAAATAATTTTTATAATGCATTATTTATGAAAGTTGACAAAACTACCTTTGCAACTTCCTATAAAATTGTAATGCCCATTTTTAAAAACAAAAATTTTATGTCTACTTTACATTTTTTTTTGTTTTAATTATTTTTGCTTATTTTTATTTTTCCTATATTGAGAAACTCGAACGTTCGTCAGGAAAGACAAGGGAAAAACAATACTTGAGCTTTTATTGCTAACTTCTTAAAGCTAACCTGAAATCGCTGTTTTAATATGAGGAATTAGAGTGCTACCAATGGGTAGTTTCTCAAAAAGCGTTTTCATGTGATTGTATTATCACTTTGTGCACATTTACTCGTTGCATTTTTTATAATACAGTTGTAAATGTCAATGAATAAAAAAAAAAAATGAGGAATATGAATTTTTTTTCTATATCTTAATTTCTCACCTTGGTACATGCAAATATATGTAACAGCCCCTAGTAACTGCAGAAAAACTGGAATCCATAATTTGGTTAGTGATTTAAATACCTAAAACATAAAAAAAAAGTATATTTATTTTAATATTACAACTACTATACGGACCTAAAATAAAAATTCTCCTTATTAATATTTTTATCACATGATTTCAACTATTATATTTCTTTCTTCAAGGAAAGGCAAAAAAAAAAAATGTTCAAACGTTGCCTAACTAGTACCCCACACAGTTTTAAAACGATCCCATCTGCATCGGCATGTAACCAGAACGCCTCTGCTAATGTTCCCTGAGAATGGGCTCGTGGCGATTACTTCAATAAGTTAATTGTTTAATGCACCAATTTCCTACAGCCAGTGACATACTCCGTCAAATAAAGATTCTGTTCTGAACTAAAATTATAAAAGAAATATTCTAAACCCGAAATAATTTTCATGAAATGATTATTCGGTATTATTTGATAATTACAATAACAACACAAAGGAGCCATAAAATAAAGCAATAACCCTTTGTCGACAATTGGTTTCACTAATGTTATTTAGGGCTTAGTGACGTAAAACTCCAAGGTCAACAACGCCTATCTAATTTTTATTTCAATAATTAATTATTACGAAAAAAAACATAAATTTCAATTTTGTTTAGTAAATCATTAGCTTCAAGAAAATGTATTAACAAAATTTACTTTAAATTCACCATTATTTAAAACAACTGATAATTTTTGTATGAGTCCTTTGGTTAGAATTGATATGTAATGAGGATACTCTTGGAGAATTTGGCGGACTGTTAGAATACTGTAGTCATTTTTGGTAATCAGATAAGAATGTGTAAGATTTGTATGTCATATCCCTAGTATAGTTAAGGCCAGCTTCTTCTCTACGAATAGGGCGGTTCGAGATGGATCGTGGTTTTACAGATTGTTTGATTTCCTTCAATTTGCTTGGTGGGTTCTCGTTTCACATGGATTACCAGCCAAGAGCTATTTCTTTTTTTAGGGAAAGGCTTGTGTCATGTGGTGTTAATATGGTTACCGCAAGGTCATTTCCTGTGGATTTTACAAAATGTTTTTCATATTCCAGTATCCCAACATAAGAAGGATAGCAATTTATGCCATCATTGGAAAAAACTACAAATATCAATATTATAACATTGTTATGCATTAGATTGCAGGCCTAGACTGTATCATTTTTTTTTCACGAACAGGCATTAAAGACCACGCGAATATCACGATTTCAATGCTTCCTCTTCATCTGCCTTCTCTTCTCTTATATGCCCTTCATGAGCTCCGCGTGCTTACGTTTTCCCTCCTCAGACCACGCAACATCCTTTTTGGAGCGTTTCTTTTCCGCAAGAACCGTTATTCCCTTGAGCGCCTTCCTATACTCATCTCTGTCCAAACATTCTTGGTCTCTTAGCCCCACTTGGTCCGTATCATTCTTAACCTGTTTGAAATACCCGCTTAAATTTTTATGACTGTGGATTCGCTGAAAAATTTTATGGTTAAGTCTTTCAGGATTCATCCTCATCATATGGCCATAGAACCTCAGCCTTCCCACCCTGGCATCAGTTTCTAGATCTGTTATTTCCTTATATATTTCTTAATTTAACCCCAACCTGTATCCTTCAGGTGTTCTCCTAGGTCCGTAGATTCTTCTGAGAATTCTTCTTTCTATTTTCAGCAGGCTCTCTAGGCTGGGAAGACAAGAAGTTTCTGTTGCGAAGAGCTTGACGACCATCTTATAATGTCCTAGCTTTTAGGGACAAGTTCTTCTTTTTATAGAGATCACTGGTGGCGAAGCTTAATTTCTCTATTTTGGCGATTCTTTCCTTAAACCCTTCTCTTCCTGACAAAAGAGTTCAAATATATATCATTTTTATAATTTACGTTCTTTAATAACACATTACCAAATAAATTATATTTTACATGTTGGAATATAACCTAAAACTAAAGCTATTTAAACAAAACAAAAACGTTACACACACTTGTGAATGAAGTGTTCCTAAATAGTTTCTACATTTAAGAATTGAGAGATAAAAGGTAGCGCAAAGATTTTATTTAGGTAATTATTATGCGAAGAAGGTTTTTTGTTATTGTGGGAGTGTTATTGCACATTGAAGTCGAAATATACATGGAGTGTTTATTGTCCACGCGTATAAAGTTCAAAAGCAGTGACTTGTTTTTTATTGCTCAGACCTTTTAGAATATAGATGAGAAGAAAATGTCCTAAGACTTTAGAAACATGGAAGATATTTTATTGACTGTAATATGGAAGGAGTAGTCATCGCTTAAAAAAAATAACCTGATTAAAATTATTTTCAGGCACAATTATTGTTACCTATTTTAATCGTAATATTTAATTAAATATTAAAACATATATAGGTGATAGAAACCGAATAATTTTAGAAGGACCCAACATACTTCACTGTTGGAGCAGAAAGAGATTACCCCTGACCAAATAGTGATCCGTGCCTTACGTGATGGGATTCGACCTTGATCGAACTCTGGAAATAATGAGCCATTAGACCAATCGGTTCCGGAGCCCGCAAGGTCTTCCATTTCTTCGGCAGGCCCTTTTGTCAATAGCCGCTTCTTCGGAGCACGAGAGCTTCCAGCTTTAATAGAAATCTTGTTCCAAGACGATCCATCTTGAGCATACGTTTTTGTGAGTCTAACTAAATTATAAAAATTTCTTCACATGTTTCTATTGTATATTAGTATATGGTTAAACTACAGATGTTAAGAATGCGAATATTCTGAAACAATTAAATCATAATATAAATGTATTTAAGAGCAAACTATTTGGTCTATGTGAATGATTCGCATAATGTGGACACTATGCATAATTTTCTAAAAGGCAACAAATGTTACTACAACATGAAAATAAGTAAATTAAATAAGGGGGAGGAGTCATTTTTTCTTCCATAATTATAGTAAAACGTATCATTAGTGAATTATTAGGGAAACTGTTCTTATACAGAAGCTTCTTATAATATCAAGCATCTTATAGCTTGATATTATTAGAGTTATCAAGGTTGGTCGCCTCTGGTAGGCTGGCCATTTTGCAAGGACGTTCCCAGACCAGCCAGATACCTCAAAAGTTACTGCATAAAAAATCGATGACACCAGAGAAGTGGAAATACCCAGGCTACGATGGACTCATGCTATGACAGCCGATACGAAATCCATTCTAGGTATTCTCCTAACTGGAAGGCAGCATCAACCAACAGAGATGACTGGGAAAACAAATTGCGAGGGGGCTCTTACTATGTAAGAGTTGTAGTTCCAAAAAAAGAAGAAAAAATATATTGGTAAAAATAATAAAACTTTGAACTTTTTAAATTGGCGTTTAAATTTGTCAATCTATTTTGTCAAGACCACAGGCTTACATAATATTAATGACCATTTCATTATCCACTGATATAATGAATGTTATCCAAACAAAGAAAAAATATCGAAAAATAAATTTCGAGAATAATGTAAAATTGATTATACAATAATGATGTAACATCATAAGCATAAGCTTACCCTAAATAAGTGATTTCAGTTTCGTACCCCTTGTTTGTTCGAGGTAACCTATACAGACCTCTTTTTATCAAATTATTAAACTCTTGGAATCGGAACGTTTTCAATCTGGAGATCGGAAAACTTGTATGTTTAATTAGGTTTAATTGAATCGTAAGATAATTTGACCACAAAATCGATAAAAAAAATTGGCCTACAAAAATATTGGGCAGTTTCCAAATGGCTGAATATTTTTGAAGGCTTCCTTTTTTCTCGATTTTGTGTTTAAGTTATCTTACGATTCAAGTGGAAAGCAAATGGGTATTTACGAGTTTTCAGTACCTAATTAAATAGATAAAGTTTGCCGAACTTTAGAATCAAAACGACCAATTCCGAGAATTTTCGAAAATAGAATATTTGTAGGTTACTATCAGATGAAGTTATTTACGAAGTTTCAGATGGGTGTTAATAATTTCATAAAAAGAAATCTTTACCAAGGACTACTTCACACACATACTGACCGTTTTGCATGACTTCGTTTTTTTCGTTGTTTTTTTTACGATTGTAATACTTTTACTTACTATACAGCGTGTCCCGTCAGTAGATGGAAATTTTTAGAGGAGTGATGGCAGAACTCAAGAGCTCTAAAAAAAGTTATGAACAATAAAAAAAATACGACTCACTTAAAAAACCACAAAACTTGGATTTCCCACTTTTTTGTTGGAAATTGGCCCATTATTTATATGAAATGTAAATGGAATGTATGATGATGAGTACTCTGTAAAAGCCCCTTAGAAACTAATAAATGTTATTGAGAGTTCCAATGCTAATTCCAAATAGTATTAACCCTTATGTTGTCAATAGTTTTTATATAGTTAGGGATAAAAGGCCATATTAGTATTCTATCTAATCCATCTCCTCAACAAAGCTTTTGCGGACATACCTTCGCAGGGATTTTTTTTTCTTGTTTTGGGGTCCTTGTTCATTTTTGCAGTTTGGCCACTTAACCCTGAAACATCCTATATTTGGTAAATTAAAATTAATTATCAAATAAAAATACAAATTTAAGAAGATAAATATGAACAGAATTAACCTTTATTTATGTACACACAAATGTTATTCTTAAGGGAGTTTACCTCAGAATAAAGTAGCTTTTTCTATTATAATCTATAGCCGCCCGTTTGTCACGTAATTCCTTTTTTCAGAAACAACCTGAATTATAAATGAAGGGCACATTTATAGCTACTGTCATATATTTATGACCTGCCGTAACTCGGGGATGTCATAATACTTAAAATAGTATTTGATGGGAATACCATAATCCTTCTTGGACTTCTCAATTACCATTCATACCATTACTTTCGTCATTTGGAATTTATTGCATGGACGGCCATCTTAAAGGATTCTGGACCCATTCTATGCGAGATTAAAATAAATGAATAGATTTCGTAAAATTAATTAATTATATAATTCCCAAACCAATTTAATACCTAATTTTATGTAAGTTATTCATTTTTATTTAATATGTAATTAAACATTTTTTTTTAATTATTCACGTTTCTTTAATGTAAAACATCATTTACATGCTGTCTCATTCAAGGACACTAATTATTTTGATAGAGTAGCTAATTCACAATCCATGTACAATAAATAAAAAACATTATATGAGCAAAATATTTTTTAATGTAAAATAAGTGTTGGAAAATGTATATTTTGGTTTATCATTTTCAATAATGATTGTAGTCGAACGAAAAATTCAAACACTTAATCCCCTGTCAAAATTTGAGGTTTTTCGTTTCAGGATTCATATAATTCGAAAAACGAATACATTTTTTTTTTGTCCGTCCCCCGTACTTTTTTTTTTTTTTTTGTTCTTCCCTACCTCGCCTTTTAGGCTATACGGGATTTTCCCGGGCCGGGGGGTGAGGGCGGGGAATTTAAAATCCCCTCCGGCACCGGGACGCGAACTCGTACTTTTTATATCATCTCAAATCTCTGTTATCCGGTTGCCAGGCAACTAGCGGTGCTGTGCACACGCTTTAGCCTATTCGGCCACCCCGCCCCCTCCGTCCCCCGTACGCCGTACGCGCATTTTCTCCAAAACTACACGAACGATTTTTTTTCAAATTGGGTTTAAAATCGTAGGTCACCCGAGGATGATCCCCCTTCATCAACATTACTATCCGCCTTTTACTTTCAAAATGACAGCCGAAAAACCTGCGTTGCTATAAACTGTAGCGCCTACACGAATGTACAGATTTCAATGAAACTTGGCTAAACTCTTCTTCTTGATGCCCTTTAAATTTATTTATAAAACATACTTCTACGGAAAGAAGCTGTGAAATAAGTTACTAGGGATGGCAGAATTAGATTCCGAATAACTCAAAAAGTATACACTTTGTTGTTGATATTTTGATAAGATGTTTCAAAGGTATTTATATTTCTTAAAAAACGAAGAAAGTTTCATCGAGATCAGAGCTGTTGATTTGTTGACATTGTACATGTTTTTTTTTTTAAGTTTACGTAATTTCCTAAAAAACAAAAAAAAATCGTTTAAATTACGAGGAAAGATATTGTCTCTAGATCTTGTTTATGTTCTACAGCAAATCCTTTGTTTTGGATTTTGATTTTTTAATATGCTACTGAATTAATGCTATATTTTTTTTTAGCACATTACTAAAGAAAAAAAAAAAGGTTTAGGTAAATAAGTGAAATTAACTTTTTATTTCTTTTAATTTGTCACAAGAAAGGTAATGTTATTTTAGATGTATAATTGTTGGGAAATAATAAACCAATGTGAAATAATTTTCTAATTCTTATCATTTGTTATCATTTTAACCTGATATTACTATCATGTTCTTGCACATTTATCCAAAATTATAATCAGAAAACCATAAAATAGTTTCATAATCATGTAAAATTAAAAAAAAACTAAATCCATTCCAATATTTTCTTTACCTTCCTGTGAGGCAGTAAAATATTTTATAGCAGTAATTTAATTTAAAATATGTAATATTCAATGACTGCTATTGTAGGATTTGAATGTTGATTTAGATTGACAGAGAAATCTAATTCCATACAAATGCCGAGGTTTTATAGCACCCTTTCTTAGGCGAGACAAATTTAACCTTTATTGTGACGGGTTTTTATTCTAAAGAACTTACAAATTTATATGTAACGAATAAAGTAATCTTTTTTTTCTGTAAAACACAATTATGTTATTATCCCTTCTAGCTATAATATTAATTGTAAGTCACAGTTTATTACGCATTTATAAACAATAAAACATATTATACATATTTTTAAATTTTCACCTTTATTTTTTAATTTATATTCACACCTAAATGTATACCTTAAAGTCAGTTTCCGGTTTGCCTCAAGGTCAGTCAATCTTCAGTTTTTAATATAAGTTAGAATTTTCTTCGTTCGATTATCGACAAGTTATTCTTTTCTGTCCTATTATTCACAAGTAGCTGTCAACTCCTAAATCTTAATAAATATTTATACATTTAATTCAAAATATTTATTCAAAGAGCTCGTAAGGCGCAATTATTATATTCAATGACGAAGAAATATGAAGCATTAACCAAAATCACACAACCTTGAACATCTAACGTTTTTTTCCCCCTGGTTCCTTTTAAGATAATATAGTGTCGCTGTTATCAAGGAAGCTCTGATAACTTATATAAATAATTCGCTAAATGTTTGTATCTGTTTACCAACAAAATTATTTATTCTATCACCAAATTAAACTGCATTGTCCATTCTTATACCAGAAGTATAGAGAAAGCACGTCTTTTAATATATTTTTCTATTGCCTTTACACATTATGTTGATATTTTACCATCTCAACTAGAATTCTCTATATCTGCATATCTTGGATAAAAGTTAGGTTGATTAATTTATTAATTAATTACCAAATATTTGTAGACAACGATCGTTTATTTAAATATTATTTAAGTCGGTGGTTAGGAGCACTGAATCTAATTCTAAGGCACTGAATCTTTAGAATAACAAAGTCTTATTATCGTAAAATAATATTATAATTTAACAAATAGAATTTAATTCATGTAAATAATTATGATACAATCTTAAATATTTTGATGGCTGACGGAGACATAGATGGGAAGATTGCGTAAGGCTTTTCAGGCAATTTTCTTGGAATCTGCATCACTTGCTTTTTGATAAAACAAAGCTAGGGCCCACACCTCATTGGTCACTCGCAAAAATTATTGAGCCTTGGATGGGTCTATTTGCCCCACCCTCCGTATCCACCAGACCTAACTCCAAGTGACTGCCACTTATTCCGGTCTCTGAAGAACTCCATGAATGGAAAGGAATTTCAAAAGGAAGAGGACATTAAAAACCACATGGATCAGTTTTTTAACAATAAACTCCAGTCATCCTATGAACATGGCATTATGCGGTTAGTGGAAAGTCATATAAAATAATGTTCAATATATTGTAGATTTTTTAAAATTATTTCTTAATGATATTTACAACTGCATTATATAAATACATCTAGTAAATTGGAACATATGGATATAATGACATGAAAACACTTGCTGAGTAACTACCCAATGATAGCACTCTGATATGTCTACATTAGGAGATCACGGGGTCATCTTCTTTTCAGACGTCTCGGAGGGTTATCAGGAATTGAAGAGGAAGCAAGGTTAGAAAGGAGAGGATTGGGATGATTCTGAAGTTTATTATGGAAGGATAGGTATCTAGATTGGGCCAGATCTGAAACAAAAGAAACATTAAGGTCATTATGGATGGTTTTATTTGTAACAAAGTAGGGAACATTGAGGATTTTACGAAGGATTTTGGATTGTAAGGATTGGATACGAGAGGAATTCGATGGTTTAGTGGAGCCCCATAGCTCAACTCCGTAAATCAAAATAGGCCTTATTATAGTCATGTACATGAGTCTTTTGTAATTAATTGGAAGTTTAAATTGTTTGTCTAGTAAGACTGAAGTAATCGGAATCGTCGAGCGGTTTCTTGTCGTTTCAGTCTGATATGAACATTGTAGATTAAAATAAATTTTATGTCTCTACATTGAGTTTTATTTCATCCTAAACAACCGAAAAAGCTTATTTACCAACCCAATATATATTTATAAATAATTGTTTGCACATAATATTTTTAAAGTCAATCTGAAATTTTATCTCTAAGTTGTTTTGAACTGAAAGGACACATGTAATTTCTTCTAAATCCATTTATTTCACTTAAAAACCACAAATATAAGTTCTCAAGTAAACAGAGATAAAATGGAGATGTGAAGCATGGGATCAGTGCGCATAGCTTGTTCAGCTCATTAACGATTCTCCTTGCACCTTAGCCAAAACGTGCCCGGCTTAATGCAGGCTCCTTACCTTTGTTTACTTACAACCGGCTAATAATTTTGTTTTCTACGCTCGTTCCGTTATCTGGACATCTCTATCTCTGCATTAAAGTCTGTTTGTTCATTACGTTGCAAATTTATTTCTTGTCTAAGCAAGTTTATTTCGTAATTGTGGAATTAATCCTTAATTGAATGTCTTAAAATACAAAACACGAAAAACAACCTTTAGTGTATTGCATACAATACAAATGATACATAACACCGTAAATATGGTCTAGCGATGGTTTCTTCATAAGTATACACAATTAATCTTTATATTGTTTCCCAATATACTCATCTCCAACTTAACCAAACTTAAGTTATAATCTTCCGAAGCTAGGAGTCCCTACATTCCAGCATTTATATGGAATAAGTTTGCAATTTAAAAAATGGTTCTCATGAGTCTCAAGCCTTCTTCAAAGGATGAGCGGATTGGATCACGATCACTAGCTACAAGAACAAAACTCAGAAAAGAAAAATAAATTAATAGCTAGAATATAATTAAAATATTCCTAAAATCCACAGATCTCTAAAATGTTGATAAACAATCAACCAATCAACTTTTGGTGAAACAGTATTGAGATCAACAGAATCAAC